TAATTGCAACCACTTTTTATATGCCGTAAATACAATTACTACCATCATCATAATTTACGGCACTAGTCTTTAATATGTAGCTCTTCACGTAACATTTTGGCTTAAAAACCATACCCAAATAAATAAAAATTTTAAAAAAGTTTTTAAATGCAGATCTTTTTTTCAAAATCTAAAAATAGAATATGGTTTCTATTGTTATATATATATAAATAATTTTGTTCTTCACATGAAAAATGTGCATCATAGGTAACATTTTGGTACAATTGTTACAGTTGAGCTTGTTTTATTCTGCGCTTTAGTTGAAGAAAATCTCAAATAAATGTGAAAAAAGAAACAAATTTCAATCTGGCGTAGAATAATCAATATTTAAGCCAACCTCTTCTTTTAGTGGCCGTTAAGAAGTTCCGAAAATTTGACAAATGAAAGATGGTAAAGAAATATTGAGGAACATATTTCATATACAACAAAAATTTAATAGTCACGGAGACCCCATAGGGTATTACTAATTCATAATTTTAAGCTTAAAATTTAAAATTTAAAGGGGAATGAATACATCAATATTACACGGAAATCGTAAAACAATTTTCAGGTATATATTTTTTCTGTGTAACAAAATTTACTAGAGCGCCCCCATATATTAATACAAAATGATCTACAGGTGGACACTATTTTTATATTCGAACCCTGTCATAGTCAAGTTTTAGTCAGTTTAACCAAGTGCCCGTATAAGTTACGCGGCCCAGCTCTGATAAAAATTCGAATATACACATAATTTTAGATATCCGAACATTCAAATATTCGTAACGCTTGAGATATTTGAAAACTAATATTTTAAATGCCTTAGGTAATAATAATAGCACTAATATTATATATTGACAATTAAGAGATAAATTCAAATACTTTATTAGAATCATATCCAAGTAGTGGAATATCAGATAGTTTTATCTGGGAATTAGTTTATATTTAAGATCAAAGAACATTATTATCAGTTGTGCAACAATTAGACGACTTTCTTACCAGTGATGCAACCTTTCGCTTCTAAAGGTATGTAATATCGATTTCAATATTAATTTTTTTCAAATCCAATATTTAACATTTATTTATTCACATTAGGTGTCAATCTTTTATCAGCTATTTTAATTGAATGTCCAAGGGAACTAGTGAATCAAACTTCTGGTAAATACATGTATTTATATGTGTGTGTGTGCGAAGATTGTGGGCGAAATTCCTCTAGAAATCAATAGACAAAGTTTCGACAGGTTACACATTAATTGTTTATTAGGTTTCTGCAGAGTTTCACATTTGGGGGTTTTGTCAATTGTCAGAGTTTTGACAAGGTATATACTAATTGTTCATTAG